GGAGGGGGGGGCGATGTTTTCCCCAGGCCCATCAAAGTGGGATGAATCAGGAAAGGTCTGGCTGCAGGGAGTGAGCTATTGGGAGGATAACCAGCTGGAGGAATGTGCTTCCCTGGGAAGTGTCGATGAGCTATTAGCTGCAACCCTTCTACTGTGGGGGAGGACGTGCCATTTACTGTATACACTCTTTAGCCCTGTGTCGTAGTCCTTTTCCTCCTCTTCCTCGCAGTGCAGTTACTGCCCAGGCCAGTTGGTAAAGGTTCTCAGTACAAAACAACCTGGTAGAGAATTAACCACTCAAGCAGGAGTTGCCCTTTAAGATAGAATATACCGTTTCTTCAAAAATAAGACCAAACCTAGTATTAATTTTCAGGATGCTTCTAATATAAGCCCTAACCCAAAAATAAGTCCCAGTTAATTCGAAACCCCGCCCTTCACCATTGTGCAGCAACCCGAAGATGACATGACTGTATTTGAATAAATGTAGATTGTTGTACATGAAAAAACAAACAAACAACATCCCCTGAAACTAAGCCCTAATGCAGTTTTTTGGAACAAAAATTAATATAAGACCCTGTCTTATTTTTGGGGAAACACGGTAGCGTCCTGAAATAGTAAGAGCAGAACTGTTCTGAGTCCATTCTCTAGGAAAACATGGCAACAGGGAGTTAGTTACAAATGCTGAGTGTTATTTGGAGCAATGGTGTGTAATGATTTGATTAATCATAATCACCCAAACAGTTACAACTCTCTTAAGTTGGCGGATGAAGCAGGTGGCATAACAGATATGCAGATGGAAAGCACCATTGGAAAAGAGGCATTCTCTCACTTTGCACGCACAGAAGGGTTACTTCTAGGATGATACCTGCTGTGACACGTGGGTTTGTCATCTAAAAACAGAGACAGTGTGGGTCTTGTTTCAGAAAAATACATGAATCATATTGCATCTCCAAAACAAAGCCATTTCTTTCCATGTGCAGACAGAGGAGCAGCAGATGGAAATGAGAGAGTGAGAATGAGAGAGCGCATATTAAACCTGGCTGACGAAGTTAGAGGATGTCTAACCAGGTCATGTTTCAACATAAATCAGGACAGTTAAGACATTGAAGTCCTTCAAAAGTCACTGAGACATGTTTTACTCTCCTGTTTCTGAAACTTCGGCACCACCTCTGCTTTGTTTTAGCCTTGGTTTTATTTTGATGACATCACTTTCAAAGAACTGCTGGAAAGCTCGGTGGTTTAGATCTCTGGCTGTGGAGCCAGAGGTTGGGATTCAATTCCCTGTTGTGCTTCCTTGGTAGAGGCTGGATCCTGTGATCCATAGGATCCCTTCCAGCTCCAAAGAGGACGTGGAGAGTATGAGACATGATGGAACTGATGTCAGCCAGATGTACTTAGAGTAGCTGAAATGTAATCACCCTGGATGAATTTCCTCCTTAGATTTTTTTAAGTGGCCAAGGTTGGATTAGTTTTTCTCTTTTTAGAAATAAGTTTGTTTGTTTGTGTGTGTGTGTGTGTGTGCGCGCGCGCGTGCACGCACACGCAAAGATGCTGACAGGCTGAAATAATGCTTGTAACAATTTTATTCTTAAGAACTTCAATGCCTTCTAGAGATGTACAGTGGCGGCTCGCTAGACAGTTACCCCGCATGACAGTTTTTTCGCTAGACATTGACTTTTGGCGATTGCTATAGCGATTCACAAAACAGTGATTCTTATGGGGGAATTTCGCTGTACAATGTTTGGTCCCTGCTTCACAAACCGATTTTCGCTAGACAACGATTTTGACAGCTCCCTCCGCACTTGCGAAACGGGTGTTTCCGGGATCTAAGCTTCACAAGAGAGCTATTTAAACAGCTGATCGGCAGTTCGCAAAGCAGCTTTCCTATGGCCAATCTTCACTAGACAACGACGATTCTTCCCCATTGGAACACATTAAACAGGTTTCAATGTATTCCAATGGGGAAATGCTTTTCGCTAGACAAAGATTTCGCTAAACAGCGATTTCAGTGGAACGTATTATCATCGTCTAGCAAGGCACCACTGTATTCTTTGCCTTCTTAGGCTATAAGCCCTTACTGTTCCTTTTTACTATTGAAGGAGTTTGTATTCTTGATAGATATGCTCCTGTCTTTCGGAGTGTGACTTAAACATTCTTTTTAATATTTTACTGCACTTACGTTCCTCTATTTTTGACAGTGTTTAGCTCCTTTATTTCAGCACTCCTATGTTTTATATTCAGGGACAACCTAAGTTCACTTTTCATATTTTTAAGCTTTTGAACCTACAGTACCCCTTTTTTCTTAGCTGTAAGGATGATATTTGCAAGATAAAGTGACATGACTGTGACTTCATAAAAGTCACATGTCTTTAATACTTTTGGATTTTACATTTTTATATGGAACCTAGAAGATGTAGAAATAAAATTTGTATAAAATTAACACATTTACAAATAAAAAGCATTCCTAGAAGATGTAGAAATAAAACTTGTATAAAATTAACACATTTTGGAATTATTGCAATAGCAAAGACCCTTCTAATGAGTGTTTCCAAGACTTTTGCCAGTAGCTTTTTCTCATTCTGTTGAACTGACCTGGCATCTCCACTCCTTCCCTTCTTTTGAATACAGCATGACCTTCTCCTACCAAAGCCTGTTCTTTACAAATAAAAAGCATGCTGAAAGAAATGATATCAGCCTTTCATGAGGCTTGATTACAATTAATGTTAGATAGGTAGAATCGCAAAATAATCCCAGAAAGATGTTCGGGAGGAAAAATGTCATGCTTGCGTTCTTTCCCAGCATACAAAAGTGATTTCAGAGTTGCAGATCTCAGATTATGGCCTTCAGTTTGCTGGGGATTTCTCCCTTTCAGAAGAGGATATTATTTCAGTAAGGGTAAAATTACGCCAACAAGAATCTGTCTTTATTTGTAGCTAAGGTGTGACAGCATCTGGGCCCTTGCAAAGAGGGAATAATAGTATTGTTGTCAGAGAGGGCCTATCCCTTCCTGTATGTCTTGCCAATTGGTGGAGCAAAATGTCTACTGGAAAATTTCCTTTATCATCAGCTGGCTTATTTCTTCCAGATTGTCCTCAAACACAGTTTAACATTTCTGAGTTTCCTTGGAAGTCCTGGTTTAATATTCTGTAAGATGTCTACCCTGCAGTAGAAATCAGCTGATATTCACACTAAAGTAAATTTGTTAGTCTTAATGATGCTGAAATACATTTCTTTTTGGTTTCTTTTTGTTATGTATGCTGAAACTTGCTTGGGATGTTCGATAGGAGCTTTGCTGCAATTTTTAAAAATGAGATCTGCTTTGATTTCCCTTAATCTTGGGCATAAGCGGCTTTTTCCCCCCTTCAATGTGTAGAAAATTTATTTTGCACATGTTCAGAGATGCTGTCTTCTGTACTGTTATTTCATTTGTTACTTGCCCCCATCACTGTAGAATGTGGGCTATACACTTAAACATACAAATAAAATTGGGTTCCAGATTGAGAACAGATATTGAAAAGAGGCTGCTGGCTAAGCACAATAGGATGAAATAGAACTCGGGTTAGATACAGGCTCCTCTCTCCAGATTATTTCCAGTGAGACAATGTGTGTGTATTTCTCTTGTCTCTGAATATTTCTAGCAGGAGCCTAGAAGCATGAGCACAGAACTTGTTCTGCAACTTGGCTTCTTATCTTGCTGTTTAAAAGCTAGAGAGGAAGAAAAGGGAGCCTTTTTCTGCTCAGTGGGGGAAGGTGTTCTTGGGTGTCTTACCCCTCTTACTTGCTCCTTGGTCGGGGCAGGAAAATTGCTAAAATATTTTGCTCTTTTCTACGTATCTACCTAGTTCCCAGCATAACAAATAGATATCTCCAGAACAATTACTCGTTTGCCATTTCTTGTTATAGCTTGTATAACTCCTCTAATCATCTCCACCAGTATTAAATAATTTATCTGCTGGATTGCTCAGTGAGATGGAGCATCTGGCTGCAGAGCCAGGAATCCGGAGTTTGATTCCCCCTTGTGCCTTGTAGGAGAAGAGCCCAGCTTGTGTAGCATTGGGCAAGCTGCACAGTCCCGGGGTTGTTCCCAGAAGAACCACTTCTGAGTATTCAGAATCAATTTGTGTACATGGGGGAGGAAAGGAAGGGGAGCCCATTGGTGACTTTGAGCCTTTAGCATATAAAAAGCTTAAGAATTTGCACTCAAATATGAAATTTATGCAAGAAGGAAACTAGATATCATGGAATAGCTTGGTGTGGGAGGCTTGTGTCTTAAAACTCCAGACTTTTGCACGGTAGCCCTGGGGATGGGGTGAGTCACAAAGCGGCAACAGAGAAGGAAAGTATAGGAGTGGTTCAAGGACGAAGGTATGACTGCGAGCAAAGGTATGTACTAATGCTAAGAGTTTTAGGGGCTGGTCTCCTGTGGCTTGGCCTTTGGATTTAGCGAAACTTATAAAGGAGGATCATAAATAAGCCTCACAGATGAGATGGATTTTGAAGATGGCAGCAGTAGTTTCTCTCATCTCTACATCTCTGTGATGCCACTTATCATACCTGTGGAAATGTCCTATCTGATGCAACTATTTATAGTGCAGAGTTCCCCCTCCTGTACATTTGGCCATGGTTTCCATGTTTCTTGGATAAAAATACCAGAAAACAGTCTGACTGGAGATACCTGAGCATCTAAAAATGCACATTGAAGAAACATTTAACAGGTACAGCCTTTGTAGTTCATCCACTCTCTGAAGAGACCAGGAGAATAAAGAAGTTATTTGCCTAGCTGATGCAAAGGATGCTTGTCATGTCTGCTAAAGCACAGTGCTGGCCAGATGCTCCTGCTCTTAACCTATAATATGTTCACCTCCATGCATTCTGGAACAGGGGGAAAGAAGGCAGAATCTGCCAGGAACCTTTTGCTTGGTTCCCAATGTATCACCCAGTTTCCAATTTCTTGCCATCTGAAATGTTGAACTCAATATTTTCTTTTCCTTCTTTCCTAGGGACACCTCAAAAATATGACCCAAGTTTCAAAGGCCCTATTTATGATAGGTAAGCTGTGAGCAGTTGGGCAGCTTCTGAGAAGGGCTTTTAGTATCATGCTGTGCTTTTTAAACATCGTTGTTTGTTTACAATGCATTTTAACTCAACAGTATTTTAATATTATAATTTGTTTCATGGTATTTTAACCTTAGTTTTTAAACTATACATGTTTTTAATCTTGTTGTGAGTTACCTTCAGCCTTTGTTCTAGGAGAAACATGGGATATGAATTGGATCAATAAATATATACATAAAGCAAGTAATCTGCTGGTGATACTACAGTGAATGTTCTCGTGTTGGTATAGCTATCTTCCCTATAATGTGTCAGGAGGAAGTAACCCTTTACCAAGGGAGATCTCCACTCTTAGCCCTGCTTTTGGGCAAGTTAAGCTTCTGAAAATGCTGATCCTTGCACCCAAACACTTCTTCCTCATCAGGGTGTTTGAATGCCTTTGTGGTGTCATGTTGCAGTTCCAACCCTTTACCACTTCTTTAGCACTCCCATGCAACCTGCTGGCTTGTGAACTCTGAGGAATTAGAAGAAAGCCCATTCTTCCATGGCAAACATTCCTCTCCACAGACAAAAGCAAAATGTCTCCCCAAGAGTGACACATAACTTATTGTTCTGTCTGGAAGAGGTGTGAAGCATTTATACAAAGATATCCAGATGAATCTTTATATCTTTAAGTGCTAAGCTCTATTTGAGTTCCACACAAACAACCAAACTCTCCCCTGTGGAGGATCTTCCAGGGAAAAATGAGTGGGTCCCTCAGAGTTCACATGTCAGCAGCACCTTGCTGCACCTCAACTTCCATGAAGCCCAGTAGCCAGAGTTTTGTCTTTTTTACCATGTCCCTGGTAGGATGTTCCTTGGCATATTGCCCCTACCTTCTTGCAAAGGTACGCACACAAATAATCAGGGGCTGGGAAAGGAGCTTCTAAAGATAGTGGCCGGATTATGTAAATCCAGTTTAACGTTTACACCTGTGGTGTAAAGAATAATGGTATAACTGTTGTGTTAGTGGCTATTCCCCTCTCTAATAGCCACTAACTGACAAATCCTAGTCAAATTCCTAGTCCCCAAGCCAGACTTGGCACTTTACTAGCAGTTTGGCTGGGGACTAGTTGCTGGCTGTTCCCTGCTTCGAGTTATGCCATTGAACTTTTGCAGGCATAAATATTGGATTGGATCCTGCCCTATAGCTCCCGGAATTGCCCAGAAATCCGGCATAGCTGTAAGAGGTAAAAATTTTATCAGCACAGGGTAGTATATGCCACAGAAGATTGAAAATATTTAAATTCAAATTTTGCCAGTAATAGATAAATAAATTATTTATTGTTTCCTTTTAAGTGTTCCTTCATGGGGTGCATATCTGTTTCATCACCTTTGTTACCAAAATGGTGGCTGAAACCTAGTAGTAAGTCACAACTAGAAAAGGTAATCCATGGAACTTAAAAGAGGAGTTAACTCATGACATCCCCACTGGTTCAAAGGACCTGTTCTATCTGTAACTTTTTGCTGGATTTCTGTGGCTTTCCAAACCAATTACCAAAGGTTAGTAGTGTTGCTGTTTCACACAGATGTTATTTTAAAATAACCATGATTTTAAGAGACAGACTTCTGTTTTGTTTTTCAAATATGAATGAACGGTGGTGTAAAATATGTATTTGTAATATATGGAATGGAATCAAAGTACTCAGAAGGAAAAAAACTGTCCACTAATTAACTCCCTGTCTAAGACTGCTACAGATGCAGGTGAGAATTATGAGAACAAATAAGCTACAGATGGCTTGAACACATGGTTCAGACACAATTTCTGGAAGAGATCAAAGCAGAAACAAAACAAAAAACAAACTAGAGTCACTTCCTTTGTCTAATGGGAATGGTAAAATATGAATTTAGTGCCCTATCTTGTCATGACAGCCCTGATGAAACTAAGGAGTTTCAAGGAATTTCCTTCTGATTCTGACTAAAATTTTAAAAAGTTGTTGGGTTCTAGTACTTAAGAGTGCAAAAATACCACACTCTGTTTGAAAACTGGAATTATAAATCAGAAACATAGAATGTTTACAGACATACCTATAAATGAAAACTGTGCATCCTCCCCAGAGCTTGGAAATATTCTGGGTTTTTTTGGACTATTAATTGGCCATGCTGGTGTGGCATTCTGAAAGTTGTAGTCTAGAAAATAATTATTTCCGTGCTCTGGAAATTATTGCTTTGCATTTTGCACTTTTAAAAAAAAAGCCTCGTGGCGCAGTGGTTAAACCGCTGTACTGCAGCCAAAACTGTGCTCACGACCTGGGGTTCAATCCCAGGTAGCGGCTCAAGGTTGACTCAGCCTTCTATCCTTCCAAGGTCGGTAAAATGAGTACCCAGCTTGCTGGGGGGGGGCAATGTGTAGCCTGCATAATTAACTTGTAAACCGCCCAGAGAGTGCTTGAAGCACTATGGGGCGGTATATAAGCAGCACGCTTTGCTTTGCTTTTTACAGTGGATGGGTGGATTTGCCACCATTTTGGGTATAGAGTTGTTTTCTCCCACTCATTACCTGTGCTGCAGATGGACTCTTTTTTTAAAATTTAAATTAAGCAATTGAATTGTATGTGAGATACAATTACAAAATGCTCTGGATAGGCTTGAGCACTGGGCTGAAAACAATAAAATGAAATTTAGCAGGGATAAGTGCAAACATCTACACCCATGGAGTGGAACACATAGTTACAAGATGGGGGATACTTTGTTCAGTAATACTATGAATGCAAAAGATCTTGAAATTATTGTAGAGTGGTCTTTTAGACCAGATGGGCGGGGTATAAATCAAATAAATAAATAAATAAATAAATAAATCACAAGCTTAATATGAGCTGACAATGCAGTGTGGCTGCAAAAAAGGCAAATGTGACTTTAGGGTGTATAAACAGAAGTATAGTCTCCTAATACCTCGAGATACTAATCCCCCTCTATTCAGCACTGGTTAGGCCTCTGTTAGAGTATTGTGTCCAGTTCTGGACCTTAAGAAGGATGTTAACAAATTGGAGCAAATTCAGAGGAGGCCAACAAGGATGATCAGGAGACTGGAAACCAAGTGTTTTGAGAAAAGACTGAAAGAACTAGAGCTGTTCAGCCTTGAGAAAATAAGACTGAGGGGAGATAAGATAGCCCTTTTCAAATATTTGAAAGGTTGTCATAAAAAGGAGGTGCAGGATCTCTTCTCGATCTTTTCAGTTAGTGCCTAATTCTGTTTGGTTGAGGGTATCATTTTTTAAAAGCTGCAAATCTGCCCTGTGGAGAAGGAATTATGACCTCCTCCCCAAGCTACTGACCAGTTCTCGCTTGGGTTCAGAGGAATAGGAAATTGGGATTCTGGGGCAGTTCCTAATGGCTGTTTCATTTTCTGCTCAGGGGCTGCACGGATATCATCTGCTGCATCCTGCTCCTGGTTGCCATCGTGGGCTATGTTGCCGTGGGCGTCGTGGGTATGTATGCTGCAGCTCTTGTTCATTCGGTGGCTTTTAGGAAACAGCCATTTTGCTGAAGAGTGACTATTTCACAGTAGGGTGGAGAAGTGTAAGCTTTCAACAGGCACTAATGTGCATGGCTGTAAAAAACATGCAAAACCAATCAAAAGTAGATAAGGTGTTTAAAAGACTCTTCTTTCTTTAGTTCAGGAGTGGACAGCATGCTATTTGTGGCCCACATGCAACCCTTCCATGCCATTTTTATGAGCCCATTGCATCTCTGGGTCCCCAGTCATGCCAAATATTAAAAGTGGTTGGGGGCAATGTTTGCAATGTTTTGAGGGGCCACCAGAATGCAGCCCCTGCAATGCCCTCCTTTTTAAAAAAATAAATCTATTTTTCTGCAGAATAGAAGGCAGAGGGGGCTTTTTCAATTTAAATGAATGGTTAGGTCCATTTTTCACATAACAAAAATCCGTTGCAACAACCTTCCCAGTATCTGACCACTGTATTTTTATTTTTCACTTAAATTACCCGTGTCCCTCCATTTTGTGTCTTCTGTGCAGAGAAGAGTAACTTTAGTTTGCTCCATGTGGCCCTTATACAAACATTGCAATGGGCATTCTTCATTTAAAATCTCTGTCTTGGAAGGGCACCCCTTCGTCTACCAGCAAATCTGAAAAATGGCATTCAGTCCCACTGAAATTGCCTGGCCTTGTTTGAATTGCTCTGCTTTCAGCTACTCCACCAGTGTCTGATGGTGATGGTGGTGGCAGAATTGTCTAAAGTGTCCAACTGAAATTTAGGCAGTGACTGAGACATTTTGGCAGAGTAAACAGCCTGGACCTATTAAAGGGCATATAGGGAATTGGACTGGAGGCAGAAAGATGAATGGCAAGGGGGGGTCCTGTACGCCTCCTGAGAGAAGCCCCTTAAAGGTGGTCTTTCTTATATTTTTGAGTGCGAGCAGGTGGGTGTATTTGTGTGTATAGCATATATCCACAGCCATGACGGAGAATGACTTCCTTTATTTAATAACGTCTACTGTAATTGTAAGGAATGCATATTTTCTATAAATATGAAACATGCATGAAATATATTCTTATTATCTCCCCTTGCATTCTCTTCTGTGGGAGGGTTCTAATTTATAATGCAAGTTAATTGTTGTGATGTTGTGCATGATCCTGTTTTATCTTTCAAACCAAAATAGGGGGTACATGGGATGATACAAGCAGCTCCTCTAATTTTGGTGAATCATTGCATAATGATGGAAAAGGAGGTTGACAGAGAGCTAGTGTAACGAAAGACTTTAAGTTGGGTTTAAATAGTGTTGATTTCACTGGGTGGCCTGGGATAGAATCATGCCTCACTTTATGAGTTTGTTCTGAGGGTTAAAATGCATCTTAACAATTCAGAGTAGTGGCTGGGAACACAGGTGGCACTGCAAGTCAGACAGTGGTTTTCTTTCTTTTCTTTAGCATGGACTCAAGGAGATCCCCGGAAGGTGATCTATCCAACAGATAGTCGTGGGCAGTTCTGTGGCCAGAAGGGAACCATCAATGAGTAAGTATCTAGTAGAAATCCTCTCATTATCTGTATGGCTCCTTGCATGGTGAATTAAACACAGGCCAGAATCCTCCTCTTTTATATGTTACAGTGGAGGTATAATGGTATAAATTGCTGCAGCAGATTGCCATCAGTTGTACGCTTGTATTCCTCATTGGGCACCAAGTCTCGCCACTGGGGTACGAAAAGGGGTGACCCTTAAATAGCAGCAAATACCAGTAGTTTGTCGCTGCAGTTTACACCCTGCACTTATGCCAGTGTATGTAAATAATAGGGCTCTGGCCACTTGGTATGAAGACACAAAGGGGTCAGAACGGGGCATTTTGTGATTGCGTCTTTCCATTTATCCTTATCTTTCTGCTTTCTCTCTTCTGGGTAGGGAAGAGTTAACTTTGTTTTCTTGGTATGGATTGATGCTGGGCCTAGTGCCAAAATAGCAAAACCTAATATCCTGCTTGTCTTACTCTTGAGGTAGCTCATTAAGCTCATCAAATGAAACGGTAACACCACTATGTGATATTCTGGAATGTTCCTTGATGTCTACATTTGCAAGATTTTGCAGGGCTGGTAAAGCAGTCTCCCCCCACACTCCTCCTGCATGTTTGTGGTTAGTTAGCATGGGCAGTTGTGGCTGTTTATGCCATGTGCCAAAATGAAGTCAGGAAACTAACTTTAATTTAGGCAGAGAGACATTCCTTTCCTCTCTTCTCAGCCATGGTCTGCTGTGGGTGGTACTTTGGGCCAAACCTGGCAGGGATGAAATAGGTCCGTGCTGACAATCTGTTGGGCTCTTCAACTTCCTCTTTACTTACCTCATCAGCCTTTCCAATGCAGTTGAAATGGGCACCAGGACAACTAATTCAAGTAATGTACATGTACATGAGTAAATAATAGTATGGTAGGTCTCTGATCATGTGCAGAGTGCCTTTTGCTCACCATGGGAAAACCACATCAGAATTCTGTGGCCGTGGGTTTAAGTTGCTTGGCTAAACATTATCACTGGTCAGAGGATATTCCTCATTTGTTTGAAAGCACTTCCAGGACCTTTTGCTCTCAGAAGAGATAGCACTAAACACGTATTGGGTGGATGTGAGGGGAGAATAACATCTGTACTGTTTTATACTCCATGAGTCAATTTGCACCTGCACTGAACGTCTTATACGCACAATAAGATGTTCTTATAGATCTTTCCTCTGCTTTCAGGAACAAACCCTACTTATTCTATTTCAACATCATGAAGTGTGCCAGCCCTTTGGTGCTGCTGGAATTTCAGTGTCCCACAACACAGGTACAGTCCCATTTGGGCATAGCCTTTTATGTTCTCCCTCCAGATAGGTCACAGTTTCAAGACATTTGCACTTGGTAACTTTAGGAACAAGAAAGAAGATGAGAGCTTTCTTTCTTTCAATGATTCCTGAACATAGGCAGGCCAATGTGCAGTGTCATCCGATACCTAATATCTAAAGTGTTGGGGAGGTTGAGAGATGCTTTCACTAGAAGAGAGATAGGGTGCAATAGTGCTGGAGAGCCCATGGCAGGGGGTACCCAACAGCCTTGAAAACTCTGACCTGGTTAACAAAGGAAGTCTGATGCTCTTTTAAGAGGATTCCTTCTTTGGCACACATGTACAGCATTTAACAGACAGTATGCTTCTTGCTTTAGAAATCTTGCTTAAGAAGTGAAATGATTAAAATTTATTTCATTGAGGTGCTGCTTTTATTTGAACACTTTAGACTTTTATAGTCCAAATGGAGTTAAATCATAATTACTCTGTACTAAGGTTCAGGATCTGATTAATGAGTGGTCTGATACACTCCCAGATTACCTGCCTCTTCCATCATGACAGCAAGAGGAGCCTTATGAGGACAGAGTGCTATCCTCTGAAGATGCCGACCACAGAGACTGGTGAAACGTTAGGAAGAACAACCTTCAGAACACGGCCAAAGAGCCTGAAAAACCCACAACAGCCTTATGTGTGTTTGTGGGCAGATGTGATAGTTCAGTGGTTCCCAACCTTGGGTAACCAAAGTTTTCTTGGACTGCAGTTCCCAGAAGCCTCCATCATCAGCTGTGCTGGAACCACTGTGTTAGTTATCCAAGTGCTCTGTCGCTGAGCACTCATTATTTTCTCCATGCCAACTCCAAAATAATTAGACTTATCCTTTTAAAAAAATTGGTATGATTAATAAGGTGTATCGTATTATGGACATCTGGTTTTTTGGACAATATAACAAGCTTCAGGTGGTTCCCAACCTTGGGTAACCAAGGTTTTTTAGACTATATAACAAGCTTCGAAGGCCAGTATCCTATCCACAGGCATAACGGCCAGTATTCCATTCATGGAATGGCATAATGTAAAGTCACGCCAGCATAAATGTGCCAGGTGTTATGTCTGGCTACAAGGAATTGTGTCATGTAATTGCACAATCAGTTGCACATCCCCAGCACAACCAATTACACAATGCACTGACAGAAATGCTTCAGGGATAAGCACACTTCTGCCTCAGTAGTTGATGTAAAGTCACGCCAGCATAAATGTGCCAGGTGTTATGTCTGGCTACAAGGAATTGTGTCATGTAATTGCACAATCAGTTGCACATCCCCAGCACAACCAATTACACAATGCACTGACAGAAATGCTTCAGGGATAAGTGCGGCAGGGATGCCTCAGTAGTTTCATAGTTACTGCTAGTTGTGCAACAGGATTTTGGCCAGTGTTACCTATGGTAGGACGATCCTCATAATAGATGAATTTTGGACTTTATCAGTCAACATGGCTTCTTCTGTGTTGGGTATTTTTATTTTGGTAAAGCAACTTTATTCATTCTGAAGTCTGTTTCCAGAAAATCTTCATGAAAAGTCTATGCATATTAAGAATGAGTATCTATTATTTATAATATAGTCTGCATGCTTAGAGTTTTTGCATAATTTTCAAGTAAACAGAAATTTTTACTTATTGTTTGGATGCCCCATGTTTCATTACACTGTCCCCTACAGGAGCTTGTTAGATACAAGGGAAGTTAAGCTGTTCTCTTTTCATCATTACAAATATCCCAGTAAAAGAATTTCTACATAAAGCTTGGAATATAACATTTAAACCAAACATGCTAAATCTGTTAACATTTTCAGTTCTACTTTGTCCTGAAAACCCACAACAACCAACATATTGTTTTAATATTGCCGGATATTCACTGCGGATGTGAGAGCGCCTTTTCAAAGATTGTGCTAAAGTCTGTATTTCCCTGCTATAATTGTAGCATAATTATGTACTTGTAGCACAGTGGCATTTCTAAAACATCTGCCTTTTTAGTGGATTAGAATTTTTTAAACAAATATAACAAACAAATTAGTTCAGCATTGTAACTAGAGATGGGGGTATTCATAGGAATTTGTACTGCACATTTTATAAAAGGGCTGTATGTTTACCAGCTAAAGGAATTTTCCCCGATGCTGTAAATTCACTCCAGCTGATGCCTACTAGATAAACAAGGTTTACATTGAGACACTGTGGGACTTCTTTGGCCTCTTTCAGATCTGTGTCAGCCAGTGCCCCAACCAATATCTCACCTACCTACAAGTTTCAACCAGTGAAATATTATCCAAGGACCTCAAGGAATACTATCTGCAGTTTTGTGTTCCAGGATTTAAAGATTTGAAGAAGGTGAGTGTGCCATATGATGAGCAAGATGACAAGGAACCTAGTTGAAATGTGGAGCTGTATTTTCATTTTGTTTTTGTCCCTCTCGGAAGGATTGTAGAATATTGGAGTAGGAAGGGGCCTAAACGGCCATCAAGTCCAACTCTCTGTGTGTAGAATCTCTCTCTTGGGCAAGGAATTAACTATTGCTACCTTTTCTCTTTTAATCCCTCAATCTGTTCCAGAGCGCAACTGAAGTTTTGAGAGATGGTGACTGTCCTGCCATGCTCACTCCAAGCAGGCCCGGTAAGTCTGTTTGGGAAAGTAAGCCAAGGGAGAAGGCCTGAGGAGACTTGATTCTTGTTTTGCAAACAAACAACCACTGCAGTTGCCACCCACTTCCACAATCGAACAGAATCTGGGTTTTCCACACAGAGACTCCCATTGCTGTGGGCTCTGCAGGGATGCTTTTTGCTTTGGCTGGATTTGAGTTTGCAGTTTTGCTCCCTATTTGGTAACTTAGCTTGGTTGCTTTCATTGTCTTTCCAACGGCATCGTACCCAACTGCGTTCTTGAGAAGTCTCTCCAAACGTTTAGAGAATCCAGTTGGAACTCTCAGAATGGATTAGTTTTCTGGTTTTTGCCTACATAGAGATCACTGGAGTCTGAACTTGCAGAAATTACCTGAAGTATCAGCCAGCCTCTTCCAGACTAGTGCAAAACCTCAGGATGCAGTACATGCCTTGCCTTGTGTGTATTTTGGTCACTTATCATCTGAAATGATACCTCTAGTTGTCATGGGGGTAATGAACTGACATGGAGGTTCCCAGCTCAGCTAGTGGTCAAAACTGGTCTAGCTTTTTTTTAAAATTAGTTTAATCCCTGGGGAAGTTACCAGAATTGTGTACTGGTGTGTGAAGTTAATACATTTGCGGTAATAAAGGACAGATAGGTAGTTCCCATAGTTTTTTTAAAAATAAAAACCAATGTGTAAGCCGTACTCCATTAGGGTGCTACATCATTGAGCTCAGTTTCCATGCACCATTTCAGACATTGCTTCATGCTGAACATTAGGGTTTGTATGTGTGCTACATCATTGAGCTCAGTTTCCATGCTGAACATTAGGGTTTGTATGTCCGCTACCCCTACCCAGTAGTCACTTTTGTTTGACTAAGCTAGGCAAGGTGGCAGAAAAATGTCCTTGGAATGGCCTTCTGAATAGCAATAGACAGGGTACTTCCCGTGGTCCAATCTGTAGTTAATTAATGAAAATCAGATGCATTATCAATTGATTACACTATTAGACATGCTTAATGGCTTTATATGGTGCTTGAGAGGTCCACAAGTTATTAACATTGAATAGGCGGACATGGTTCATCTATGCTGCCTCTTATCTCTCCCTGTTTCTCCACCCTGGCACCAAGGCTTACACTAGTATGTCAGCTTGAGGGAGTAACTCAGCGCTGGACAAAGACAAGTGCCAAAGCCCCTTCCAGCCTGGTAATGTACATAAAAAGCTCAGCACAATCACTTAAACTTTCCTCATCCTAGATCAATCACATCCAACTTGTACTTCCTACCTGTTGCAGGCCTGACTCTCAGCTCCCAGTGGTTACATCAGATACTCAAGCCCAGCCCTGATGGGGTGCTAGCCTGAAGGCATTTTTAGACCCCTGTCCTAAAAGAACTGACTTAGGAAAGTGCTTGATTGCTTCCTGCTCAACCTAGATACAGACTTCCCTTACCTGTCAACCAAAGATACCATAAACAAAGAGACCTGCCCCCTTGCATTGCTTCTTTATTTGCCCAGCAGAACTCTTTCTCTGCCAGGCTGCGTGGCAGCCGTGGCTTTCCTCTTATCCTCTTGGCCGTAGGGAGCTTCCTTGGCAGAGTGCGGCAGGGATGTCAGGCAGTTCAGCTGCTCAGATCTCTCTCTCTCTCTCTCTTGGGGTTGTGATTCATAGTGGCTCGTAGATGTTTACCTGCAATCAGTGCCAAGAAAGGAGTTATCATGGTTGGAAATGAGACTACCTTCGATGATGGAAGTGGAGGTGGAAAGACAAGAAATGTGACAGATCTTGTGGAAGGTGCCAGGTGAGTTGCTTGTAAGTTTGTTTTCTGGGGACGGGACCCGATGAGGACTTAGGAGTGCCAAATTATTCCAGAAGAATACATTTTGCAGGTTTTCCTTGTTCCTTTTCCATTTCTTTACATTGTTCTTATTTATGTTGTTTGTCCCCAGAACTTTTTGATGAAACTTTTTGGTTGGGAGAGTCATAGATGGAAAAATTGTAACAGTAGGCAGTTAGGAAACGGGCTGAAAGCTTTCTATACAATTACAGCAGGTAGCCAGTTAGTTTTAAAAGCTGCCTATACTATTAGGACCTCTGTAGAAGCAAAAATGATTCATCTAAGGCTATCATACTTTGGGCACATTAGGCTTCACTACAAAAGACAATAATACTAGGAAGAAAACAATGATGAAGAAAGATGAAGGCACCCAGAAAAGAGAAAAATTAAATATGGAATGGATTGACTTAACAAGTTTTCAAATTATAACATGTTCGAAAGTGGTTTATCATTGTCTTGTTCTGCACAGTACGAACAAGAGTTAGCTTGAGTTTCTCTGCTCTTGTCTGCAAAAGATCTTCCACCAGTGTCACCTTCTGGTGCTGTTTCTGCCCAGTAGCTGCCCTTCAGGAATTTCTATGTTCCATTACCACTGCAATTACCAATTCTCTTCCGTTCATGTGGTTGTTAATCCTGAAGAGGGTGGATGATCTTAGTCCGATGTCTCAGCTTTGGGTGACCCTGTTAGCTCATGCCTTGAGTGACTTTGTTAGCAGTCCAGACTTGTAACGAAATCTGCAATCATGATTGGCATTGCTGTCAGCTTCCCAGGCACACTGAACTCCCGTCATTATGCCAAGGTTTGTGTCTGGAAGGAGGGAAGTGTAACTAGGGCTTATGACCACATTAATACAAAAAAAGTGGGAAAGAGTAGGGGGTTGGGGCAGTCTGATTCACTTTTTTCCCCCATTGAGCACATGACACAAATTAGACTGGAGTCGTTCCCCCCACCCAGGATCTGTAGTTTCCGTCTCTGCTGCTTGGACTTGGACTTCTTAAAAAACAGATCCTTTCTGCTTTCTGTGTGGCCACTTAAATCACATAGACCTAAATTCCCTGATGTGACTTCTCAAGTGAATGCAAGTGAATTTTCATTTCCTTTGCTATATAGTCACACCCTAGCAGTGGCTAAATTGTTCTTAGAACAATCGTTTTTAACTTGCAGTATAGTCTAGACACCTGGAGAAGTGCCATAAGTATTTTAGAGTTTTAATTTTGGATTTGGGGCTATGGGGTAATTATTTTTTAAAAAATCAACATTACCTTTGACTAATTAATTTTGACCTAACATTCTAAGTGATGCCTAAATTTAGCATTGAGGTCCTTTTTTCATTTTCCTATCCCTCATACCAAGTGAAAAATTGTATGTTGACAGTTATCACAAGTCACATATGTATAGAATTGGTGTATTATGGAAAAATAACTGTTCTCAGTTTCCACCCTGCTTAAAAGATGCTTGGAGCTGTGAAAATTGTCTGTCCTTCTAACTGGAATGTTCTGTGGGAACTACAAACTTAGTTTGCTTAGACTGGGAGAGTATCCAAATCTGCAAGAGCTTCTTCCATTTAATTTGGCATCTTGTGTTTGAATTACTGTGCAATACGTGATGTGTGGAGGCAGTGAAAGTGTTCAAAAAGCAGGGTGAGAGTAAGAGACATAGTGGGATGCAGTATTGGGAGAGGCGAGCAGGCTATGTTTTGGGCATAGAAGGCCTGCATTTGAACTCTGCAACTTTCTTCAATGATCTGTGGATCATCAGGTACATTTCTGTCAGGCCAAGAATATGTAACAGAAATTAAGGCCTCCCGAGAATAAAGGAAAACAAAATCAAGATGGTTGACTTAGCTAGTGTTGCTTGCTCTCATTCCAACTTCACTGTTTAAATCAGCATAAAACAAACTAAGTACTAGAGCAAGCCTTCGAGAATACTAGAGCAATCATTTCATAGTTTACACTCAGCATAAAACAAACTAAGTACTAGAGCAGTCAAGAATACTAGAGCAAGCCTTCGAGAATATTAGAGCAATCATTTCATAGTTTGCAAAAAGCACTGGGTCAGGTACAGTGGAGCCTGTAAGCCAGGGGCAGATAACAGTGGCTCTGCAGATGTTGGACTGCAACCCGCAGCAGCCCTAGTGACCCTAGCCAGTGATGCAAAATACTGAAAACTGCAGTCCAGTAATGCCTGGAGGGCCACAAACAAAAACTACAATTTGGAGCATCCCATCTCCCCCATCTCCCGTGACTATTGGTCAGGCTGATGTGAGTTGTTCAAATATATCTGGAGAACCACAGGTTCCCTAGCCCTCCTCTAGGTGACAGCTAAAAAGTAGCTTAGAGTAACATAGAAGTTAGAGGCGTGGGTGGCCTAGACAAGGAACAAAGCTTTCTGCCAGCCTGCAGCAGAAGAGCAGGGCATAGCCAAAGGTGCAAAGCCTGGCCTGGGAAAAGGCAAAGTGCATGCTTCTATTTGGAGAGTCCACTTCATGCTCTTGTGAGCCGCTATATCAGGCGGAATGGAAATGTACCTCCCTTTTGCTTACTTCTGCCTGTTTTCATTTTCAGAAAGGCAAATGTGGTTCTGGAAGCAAGACAAGTGGCTATGAAGATTTTTGAAGATTACACCGTTTCCTGGTACTGGATAATAATGTAAGCAAAGCTGATGTACAGATTGCAGAATTAATCAGTGCCTGGGCTTTCCCAAAGGCAGAATCAGGGGGAAAAAAGTTAAGGAGTGCAATAAAAGAGGTCCTGTTCTCCCAGTGCCTGCTTCTGTAGCATGTGCTAGTTTTTGCTCTCTTGCTTGAGGTCCGGGAGCCTTCAATAGGCTTGTTGTGATCAGCTTCTTAAAGAAGGTGAATTGATATGAGCCAGGCTTGCATTAAAGCATGAAGATGAGGACTTGCTTAGCATTAGGAGGAAAGGGTTCTACATCAATCTTACAGAGCGCCGAGTGTGTTTGTGCAGGTATTGACCTGTGTACAATTAGATCTGGGGTGTCAGCTGACTTTCTAGTGAGCCAGGAGTAGATACATTTTGACTGGTTTGATTTAAGCTGGTGGGTCTTGTTTTGTCCTGCCAAAGTGGGCAGATTGATCAAGCATATGTGGAGTCATATTAAATCATGAGCTTCATATAGTTCATCTATACATCCCTACTTGGAATAGCTTTGCTTCATTAACTTACCTGATTTTGCTTCTATAGATACTGCAGAATTTGAAATCTATTAGGGTTAGAAGGAACAATGGCAAGTCACTGATTAAGGTTAAAACATACATAGAAAAAAATTAGAAACAAAACTTCAAGAGAGTGATAGAAATTTGATGGAATAGTTAGCGAAAGAAGAAGAAATAGAAGACATTAAGAATTTAAGGATAGGAAAAACACCAGGAATGGATAGGTTGGGACTGGAGCACTATAAAATTTTAAAAAGGTGTTAATACTGAAATTGAGATTACTATTCAATAAGATTATGGAAGGAGAAGAAATTCAGGAGTCTGCTGCCAACTCTCCTCAGACTGAAGAAACTACTTGGATGAGTAGCGAAACATTTCAGCCTAACAAGAAAGAAGTCCAGTTGCCATGACTCAACTTCTAGATAACCATACCTGGATGACTGAGAATCTTCACAGATATGTTGCATATAACTATATAATAGTGAGTGTGGTAGTAAGCACCCATTACTTCCTGCACCTCTTACTCCACCATCCTGCTTCTTTGTGGCATGTAAGATAACTGAACATGGAGACCAGTAATGTTTTTTGCTGAAAAGTTAGCTGAGAACTTCTTTGTGGTCTTCTCTCTGCAGAGGCCTGGTGATTTCTATGGTGGTCAGTCTCATCTTTATTGTCTTGCTTCGGTTCCTGGCAGGGATCATGGTCTGGGTGATGATTGTGCTGGTGATCCTGGTGCTTGGATACGGTGAGTTTGATTAAGCCAGGAATCTGGCATGTAAAGTGGACACCTAATGGAACCTCACAGCCTCTCATCAGTATTAGATCCCGAAGCTACATTTCTACCTCCATCGATAACTTCAAAACCCTTGATGTTGAAGTGTCTTGTCCCCCTCCTCTTATGACAGTGGAGAGCTTGTTCACTGCCACCCAGCTGGAGCCTTGGTAGACATACACCCTAAATCCATTTGTTAGTCCTAACTAGAGTAGATCCATTGAATCAGTAACACTGATGTAAGTGTTAACTTGCCAAATTGTAATTAAGTGACTCATTTTAGTTGGATCTAACAAGTGGATTTAGGCTAACAGCCCTGTCCCCAGTTGTTTCACTCTTACTGCTGCCTTCCTCTTGCAGGGATCTTCCATTGTTACATGGAGTATGCCCAGCTGAAAGGACAAGCGGGGTCTGATGTTTCCTTGATGGAGCTTGGGTTCCAGACAGATCTCCGTGTCTATCTCCATCTGAAGCAAACCTGGCTAGCTTTCAGTAAGTCTCCTGTTCTGTCTCCCTTAGTGCCTTTTTTGTAAGATAAGCACTCCTATGTGGTTCTGAAAGACCAGAAGGGAGAAGAGAAGGAGGATTTCCTTAGCCTCCATGTAGACCAGGGGTATGCCGCTGTAACCCTTGAGATGTTATTAGACTAGAACACCTGCGGTCCCATACAGCGGGCTGATGGGAGCTGCAAAGCAGGAACATCTGAGGACCATAGTTGCTCACCTTGATTGACTCAGTTGTTTCAAAAGTCCTTCAGAGTTGGCAGTTTCTGGTATTCCCTCTTCACAGTGGAACTAGTGTTCATTAGGTTTTGCACGGCACCTCTTCTTCAAGAGTTTCCTTCCCCGCACACCTCACTCTGTTTTCTCATCCAGTGATCATCCTCTGTATTCTGGAAGTTGTCATCATCCTACTGCTGATCTTTTTGCGCAAGAGGATCCTCATTGCCATTGCATTGATCAAGGAAGCCAGCAGGTGAGGTTAACATGAGGATGGGCCACATGGATTTTCTTCAAAGGCTTGGCTTTTACACACAAACACACACACACACACACCCTACACCCCCCCTACACCCCCCCCACACACACATGCTTTCAGTTCCTCAGGATCAGTTGTTGTCTCTGATCCTTTACCAGTGGAAAATCTGGCATGACCACCAAGCATTAAAAGATAAATGAAATGGCTCTAGATGTACTTTTCTTCTCTTGTCTAGAAACAATTAGATAAAGTGCCTATTTCAAATACAAAGTGCTACTTTTATTTGCAAAGGATTGCAAGACATCCCTTTATTACAGAATTGTGACATGGGAGTAGCAACAGTAGACAAACAAGATAGTAGCATGTTAGCTGGAATTGAAAAATGATTTGGGGTATAGGTGTGTCAAGAAGCCAGGCCACACCTGGTAAAGTATGCAGTGGGCTTTGTTATAAGTGAGGCCTTGAAATTGACTCCCCTCTTTCTGATCTCTTTGGCAGGGCCATTGGTCACATCATGACGTCCTTGCTGTTTCCCCTCTGCACTTTCTTCCTTGTGTGTCTTTGCATTGCTTACTGGGCCAGCACAGCTGTGTATCCTTCTTCTGCTCCCTTGCCCCACACTCTGGTCTTGGCAAACAGATGACTGGGGCAATCCTAGCAAGCTGACTGTTTCTTAGAGGCTCAGCGAGCCAGGTGGGAGTGGGCTGTAAAACTCTATAAAGCAGAGCTCCTTGACTGCTTCCAGTTTCTTGTCTACCTCCAATGAAGCTGTCTACAAGGTGTTTAACGAGACAGAATGCAAATATGCTGGAGAGACGTGCAATCCAGAGGTGAAAACAATCTAAAATTGTTACTAATGGAACAGTTTCAACCACTTAATGGGGCAGGGGAGATGTTTCCAGAATTACTGCCATGCTTTCTTCATGGTACTCCTCCTGGAAGATAGTTCAGAAGCCACAACTGTGTGTAGAATGGAGCAGTGAGCCACCTATTGATACCTGGCTGCTGGAAGCATCTATGGGCCACTCTATGGGCTGCCCATCCCACCTTCATTTCCTCTAACCTCCTGGGTAATATAGATTCTGGCTCACGGTACTCTGATGGATTTGGAGCAGAGACGTTCAAAACGTTCCCTGCATCCTGCCAATCTATCCACAGTTGTATATAGATTCTGAGAACAGAGGTTTTAAAGGTGCTGCATTTGCATGATCTTTCTGTGGAAGATTGGTAATGTGTTCACTATTGTTTAATGGGCAAGTTTTAGATGTGGCTTTATATTTTAGCTGTGTGCTTAAAACTGTCTTAATTACTCTAAGATATTAAATCTTACACCATGTTTTGAGACAAGTTTACTTATTTGGACTAAAAATCAGGGAGTTGCAGTCCAAAAGGGAAACTTTTCCATGTGGGGTATGAAATGATGGAAGCTCCGTGTACAGTTGTAGTGCAAAAATGAGTTCTGATCCCTGTAAATTTGCGAAACATGTAAGGGTTACTTTGGACAAATTAGTTTGCACTCAGTCTTACTTTGCCTCTCAGGGCTGTTCCATGGATAAAAGGAGAGAAGCCCCATGGGCTGTCCTGAGTTTCCCCACAGTAGACGGCATGATAAAATCATGGTCCCATATTTTTTTGACATTGTAAATGGCAGGAGGAGGAAGAAATCTTGAAGTGAAGGATAACTGGACAATGGAGTTGAGTCTTTTATTCCTCTGTTTATACTGGGTGAAGTCTGTCGGTTCCTGTTATTTTTGCAACACCCAGAAGCCCCGAATTAACAAACGGTGGCTTTTGCCCCATTGTCCTCCTCTCCAGCAAGAGGCATCCAAATGCCCATGTCTGTTTCTGAGGTGAAACAAAGAGCCACATGTGATCGTTCCTTCCCAAGGAGCGTGCCTGATTGGGTCTATCACTGCCTGGGCCAGGCGGAGTTCAGAAAGTTACTCTTTCTTCCCTCCTTTCAGACTTTCAATACTTCCAACATCACCAAGCAGTGCCGAGATGCTCGTTGCCAGTTTGCCTTCTATGGCGGTGAGACAGCCTATCACAAGTACCTCATCATCTTCCAGATCTACAATGCCTTCATGTTCTTCTGGCTAGCCAATTTTGTCATTGCCTTGGGCCAAGTCACATTGGCTGGAGCCTTTGCCTCCTACTACTGGGCCTTCAAGAAACCTGATGATATGCCGGCCTTCCCTCTCTTTTCCTCCTTTGGCCGTGCACTCAGGTAATAAAGGAGCCTAAAAGAAGGGGAGGGGGGCACGTGTTTATTGTGGACAGCCAGTAGCCTCGATCTCTGGAAGAAGAGAGAATGGTTTTGTGGAAAATCTGGATCCCTGGCAGGAATTCTGAGTTATTATGAAACCTCCGGAAGAAGAGAGAATGGTTTTGTGGAAAATGTGGATCCCTGGCAGACAAGGACGCTTTGATCACTCATTGCAGTCCAGTGTTGGGTTATCTGTGCCTTGAGAGAAGATGGGGGGGGGGTTATCCTTGAAGACTGGGGAGCAGCAGAGCACTCTGTTGTCACGGAAAGCCATGATGTAAATGCCCGATTACTCAGGAACCTGGAGCACAGTGGAGCCTTGATTATGATTACAGTGGTGCCTCACATTACAACGTTAATTCATTCCAGTGAAATCACTGTAGAACAAAAACGTAATGCGAAAATAAAATACCCATTGAAACGCATTAATACCTGTTTAATGTGTTCCAGTGGGCTAAAAACTCACCGTCCAGCGAAGATCCTCCATAGGGAGGCCATTTTCGGTGGCTGTCTTGCGAGGAATCCATCCCAGAAAACAGCGGGGAGCCATTTTATTTACCCAGCGGCCATTTTGAAACCACCAATCAGCTGTAGGAAAATCGTCGTTTTGCGAAGAATCGGTTCCTGAAGCAGGGAACTGATCATTGCAAAGCGAAAAAGCCTATTCAGACCATTGTTTTGCGATCGCAAAAACTATCGCCGTAATGCGGGGCAATTGTAAAGTGGGGCACAACTGTAGTTTAAAAAGACACCTTGGAAAAGTTCCTTTCTTTATCTGCAACTCTACAAATCTGTTAGCTAGTTTGGGGATTTTGAGAGCTGTCACCCAAAAAGGAACTTTCTCAGGGCCTGTTTGAAACTCAGTCCAGAGAAGAGAGAACAGTGACAATCCTGAGCTGCTTGATGCAGGTGAGCCTGTTGCGGGTGGGCATTCTGCAAAGATCTTGGATGTTAAGGCAGTGTCACAGAGGGGCCTTTCTCATTTCCACAAATCTAGAAGGCTTTTGTGAGTTCCCCGCAGGACCCCCATGCTGAATAATTAAAACCAACTGGGATGGATCAGTCACAATAACAGGCCAGGAGTTTTCTTAGATCTGATGCATAACCTAAGGTAGAGTCTGGATTTCAGGATGTAACTTTAGAAATTCTGGCTGATCGGGCTAGACAAGCAGGCACCTCAGCCCCCAAACATGTAGGCTTGAGCCTGATACACAAGGGCTCTGTTTTGAATCCCAGGAAGGAATTCTGAGTTATTATGAAACCTCTATTAATGCATTTTCTCTGCCCATAATTTTCCCTGGCAGGTATCATACTGGCTCGCTGGCCTTTGGATCTCTGATTCTTGCTGTTGTCCAGATTATTCGTGTCCTTCTGGAATACTTGGATCATAGGTTGAAAGGTACTGGATGGGGACAGGTGGTGCAGTAAGCATGCTGAGAGGGAGGAGTGGCCATGCGTTGGTCAGGTTGGATGTCATCCTGACGTGACCTGGCCCAGTCATCCATCTTCAAAAGTTTTTCCTGGACTAGGTTTTTGCCACTGGCAAAGTAACTGCAAAGCCCTAGGGCTCCTTTTTGATTATTAAACCACCCATCTTATAATTTCACAGAAAGATTTTTGAATCCTGGGTTCCTGCTGGAGGAAATGCCTAGTTCAAGACATTGGTTAGGTTACTGGCTAGAAGTTTCACCCAACAGAACCATAGTTGTGCCAAAAAAAGTTAATTCTGCAATTCAGTGATGTAGATGTGTTTCTAATACCATCTTGCTCAAATCGACATCTTGAAGCGTGAATTTTTGTAATGTCGAGAAACTTTTTCGCCAAGAACCTGTAGGTATGTTTCTCATGCTCTATGCTTCTTTTTGCCTGTATTCAGAATATGAGCAAAAACAAAGCCAGGGAGAGCAACAGACCTGCAGGTCAAAAGGGAAAGTACTACAGAAAGTTCCCCAAGAGATGAGTGCCCCAGCTTCTCTACCAGAGCTTGGAGGGGTTACTTCGGGAGAGCCATGTTGATCGGGACATTCTTGAAGCTTTAATCCAAACAAAGTCATTTTTGCAGGCTGCTCTTGAGACTCTGAGATTTCTCTGGGATTCTAGTTTTTGTTTTGTTTTGTTAATTTCTGTGTGTTTCAAACAAGTAAGAATTGCCCCTATTGCCCTCACTGTTCAGGGACACTTTATCACTTAACTTTGGATCAAAGTAATAACTTCCATATTTGTAGGTGTAGATTTTTTTTTAATGATGAGAGTCTGAACTTTGTTGTTTTCCTTTGTGCATAAAGTCAGTTCTGCAGAGTTGTGTTTCCCTGACTGTAAAGTTCATTCAAAGTTCTGTGCCTGTAAACAAATTATGTAGATGTGACTTTATCCGCTCTGACAAATGGAGAGATAAACAACTTCCTTTCCTATATTGCTCTTCTTATATTAGCTGCAGAGAACAGGTTTGCCAAGTTCCTCTTGACTTGTCTCAAATGCTGCTTTTGGTGCCTAGAGAAGTTCATCAAGTTCTTGAACAGGAATGCATACATTATGGTAAGGAAATCAACCTTTTCTAGTTCAGCTGTAGAACTGAAACAGATTTTTAGATACACCCTCCCCCGGTGATTATTTCCAAGCCATTTGGCTACATCAGCCAGCCTGTGAGGCAAATTTGGCCCATCCATTTGATGAACAGAGCTTTGGGATGAGGCCACAATCCCTCCTTGAACTTTCACCCCCTTAAGGAAGGGGAAGGAGAATTGTCTGCCTGGACAATTGTCTTTTTGGCTCCCAAGTTAGGCATTGATATAAGATGGCCATGCACAAGCCACACAGGATTATTTTATGGCCCCTAAACCCCACCTCCCTGGGGAATTGTACCTGCAGGAGATGCTGTTCTTCCCCAAAACAAGGCATGCCCATCACATTGCTTTGTAAAAAAAAAACCTGTTGTTTCCCTACCTCCCCTGCAATGGAGTTGACCTTCCCATGTGGCCTGCGGTGTCCAGGGCAAGAAGAACTGGCCCCATGCCGGACATCTGAAGCATATGCACCCTTGCTTTACATGGAAGTGGACTGGGACATGCGATCAGAAGCTACTAGTAATACCCTCAAGACCTGACATAATGGCTGTGTTCCTCTTCTGTGATTCAACCCCCAGATTGCCATCTACGGCACCAACTTCTGCACTTCTGCGAGGAATGCCTTTTTACTGCTCATGCGAAATATCATCAGGTGAGAAGCTGGGCAATTATTTGTCATTAGGTTGCTGTTATTCTAGTTTGGAGGCTTTAATATGGGGACACACCGCGTTATTAGGCTGGGGAACAGCTGGATCTTCCTTGGCATTGCGCCCTGAGAGTGAGTTACCTCTGGCTATAATGTTCAGCAACCACCAGTACCCAAGTGTCTCGATGAGAGTCTTGCCCAAAACCCTAGATTGAAGTATCCCTTTGATGCCAAAGGAACAGCTTCCAACCCGTCAGATACCAAGTTTAAAATGCCAGGAAGCCCCTCGGTCAAGAGGGCATGGCCATATCCTCTCTCTGCCTTAGTACTGGAAAAGGCCCAAACACCACCCTCTGAAAAAGGATGCAGGAATGTGGCCTGTGGAGTGCCAATTGTGCCATCATAGCATAAGGAAAACAGGAGGCATCTTGGTTTTGATTGGCCCTCTTTCTTTGTACCGAGAAGGTTCAGCACAGGCATGAATCTGTTTCATGCAAACCTGGTGGTTTCAAGTGAAGCAAATCCATTTGGGCCCCCTGTTTTAAATGAGTCATGTTTCGAAGAAGTGCGATTCCTTGAGGGAAGTAGCTAGGGCGAAGCCCAGCATTACAGGTGGGCATGGGGAAGAATGTGCAGAGGATGCCAGCAGGGGCAAAAGCCTGTGAGTTCTGCCCAGCAAGTAAGAAGGGCTGGTGCCACTCAAATGTCCAAGGGCTCGGCCTTTTTGAGGGCATGGCTGGAACATTTTCTGACATACTCCTCCAGCTGTGAGGATATGGGGAAATTACTGTTTCTCTCTCTTTTCAGAGTGGCTGTTCTGGATAAAGTCACCGATTTCCTGCTTTTCCTTGGCAAACTCCTTATTGTAGGAAGTGTTGGTAAGATCTTCATGTTGTTATTACCCTGTTCTCACGTCTGCTTTATTTATAGGTCCTTGTGCTGGCCTCTGTGTTTGGATTTCATCCAATTTAAATTGTTGATCATTTTTTCGGCGGCTTCATCAGTTGAAAGCACCCTCACAGAACACCTAGTAGACACACTTGCATTTGATACTATTGTACCTCTTTCAAAGGATGGATTTGAAGCAGATGTGAAGGGACTAAAGGCAGCCTTTCCCATCCTGGCTATAACACTGCTGCTAGGGCAGCAGGAATTGTAATCCAACTAACTGGGAAGGTACTAAATTTGAGAAGGTTGATCTATTCCTTCCATTTTTGTTCATCTTTGACTTTCTGTTCTCACCACACATTCCAGTAATACATGGGGAGGACTCAACAGTGTTGGAAATGAGAAGGGAAGTCGGGATCAGATTGAAGGAATGGGTTGGGCCAAGACAGAACTGCTTTGGAGGAGGAGGAATGTAGTGGTTTCAGAAATTTTAACTGGAAGTCAACCAGAAAAGTTTGAAATGACAAATTTTACCTTTCTTCTTTAGGTATACTTGCCTTCTTCTTTTTCACCCAGAGAATAAAAGTGATTCAAGATACAGCACCACCTCTCAACTATTACTGGGTCCCCATTCTGGTTAGTAACTCCTAGTAGCTAAATGTTAAATGTGATTTGTTTATTCTTTCCTTAAGAGTTACATCCTGCTTTTCCTTGAAGGAGCTTGAGGTGGTGTGCACTGTATTCTCTATTAACCATGTTATTTCGACATCCCCTTCTGAGATAGCCTAAGCTGAGAGTTAACAGGGAAAGAAAAAGAAAGATGTCCAAAGTCAACTACTGGGTTGTATGAATTCACTGTTCGATTCTTGCGAACTCAGAGAGGGTGCTGTTTGACTACCAGTCCCTGTTCACAATTGCGAGCCAACAAGGCTACAGCACTGAGATAATACTTTGTTTTTTGTTGTTTTTTGTTTTGTTTATTGTAGACTGTGATTGTTGGCTCCTATCTCATTGCACATGGATTCTTCAGTGTGTATGCCATGTGTGTTGACACACTCTTCCTCTGCTTTTGTAAGTATCCAGCTGAGGTGACGGTCTTATGAAGTAAGCTTATTTGTCCAACCCATGTGACTAGACTGCAAAGAGTATCTCTATGTCAACTCTAGTCAGCTATTTTGTTCCCCAGTGCCTCCTATATCTTCTCCGTTTATTTAAAGGTATGGCCAGTAGGGGCCTCAGAGGACAAGATTCAGACTGGAGAAGGGCGGTCCTGAGTTGGCCCTGCTTTTGCCAAAAAACAGAGCACTAGTTCTGCTTTGTTCCATAGTGGAACATGTGAATGTGTTTCAGCACAAGGTCCATACAGTGCATCTCTAAAGACTTACAGCTTTATTGTGGCCATGTCATGATGGGTACCCTGTGTCATTCTTCTCGCACTGGTGAACTTTTCCTAGTAATTTGTTTCCTGGAACACCTGGGCAGATGCAAAAGGGGACAGGGAGCCTACAGTGTCAATAGCTATATATGGAGCAGGGCATTCTGATCAGAGTTGTTTATATTGTAAAATGACTCTCATCCCACTTATCGTGTCATTTCTGCCCCTGTTCTGCTTTCCCAGTGCTCATATGTTGTTCAATAGTTATACAAGTTTTCATTCCAAAATTCATCAACTGAAGATAAGTGAAATTTTAATCAGTGCATCTGAGAGCCAGGGATACATCTATTTATTTTTTGGCTACTCTCTATTTTGTTATCTTGATACAACAGGAATCACTAAAGATGCATTAATAAAAAGTAGTAATTTACAATGTGCAGACCAACCCTGGTATACTTGCATATTCAGAACGGTTTGAATTCACTGTTGCTTAATCAACCAGTTAATCAAAAACAATTTGCAAGTTATACAAACCTTAACAGAGGTGTTGTTCTGAGGTGTTAAAGGAGGAATGGGCATATTCTAATGCTAACATTCTGCTCCCATGACTCTTATAGCATCTCCTTAAAATAAAATCAACCCAGTGTTGTAAGTCTATTGTGCAAGGGGATGCTGGATGAAGTAGCAAATAGCAAAAGCAAAGTGTGCTGCTTATATACTGCCCCATAGCGCTTAAAGTTCTCTCTGGGCGGTTTACAATTTAATTATTCAGGTTACACATTGCCCTGCCTCTGTGAGCTGGGCACTCAATTTACCAACCTTGGAAGGATAGAAGGCTGAGTCAACCCTGAGCCAGCTACCTGAGCCCAAGATCAAACTCATGTCACGAGCAGAGGTTTTCACTGCAATACTGCATTTTAACCACTGTGCCACAAGTCTTCTTAAACAATGTATAAGAGGTGGTCCTTGGAGGGCCAAGGGGGTTCATGCATCCATTCAGTCTGGACATTCATACCTTCTCTCACATC